AACAAGCCTGGCTCAGCTGGGAATGTTGGGACATGCTTGGAATGAACATGCGATCAATGCCCTGACCAGACCAATCCTACCTGCGGTTCGGGATAACGAACGCGTAGTAGGCCGTGGGGTTCTTCCGTGAAGGCCGTTCACAGAATGGTCAGCAGGGGGCGCACCTCGACCTACGATCCGATTTCAAGTCTGACTTTCCTAATTGATCGTTATTTTTCCCTCTTTTCAGGGGAGACTGCCCGTCTCTGCTCACGGTGACACGTCAAAATAAAACCTTTGCGATAGTAAATGAGCATTGCACAACATTACTCTTCCAGTGGCTCCTCAGTTACTAACGGTTTTGGTTTAAAAAAAGGCACTCTTCCTTATAACAGTTCATATCCAGCACGGTGGACAGCATACTACGTCAGTGAAGTGCAGTATAAATGCAGCGCAAGATCAAGTGGCATCAGTGATGCACAATACATAGCAAGCAAGCAAGTAAAAGAGCAGAACGAAAGCTGTTTGTGAGCTGATGTTTTGTAGTGGGCAGTGTTCTACAGGGAACAAGGGACACAGCCCTGTTTTTTCTGGGTCCATTCTGGTCCTGGTTCACTGCCGACTCGGTGTAGCACTATGAACGGTCTGACAGACTCAGCTGTGCGGCAGACTTAGACACTTTCCATTGTTCAGCTCTTACCACTCAGGGTTTTCCTTTCATTCCGCTGAAGCACAACACCGGTTATTCTCTGCCTTCGGAATTGTAGCCACTTGGCTTTAAGTCCTATCAGATCTCAGTGCTGTAGAGCGAAATGTTGCCTTTGAGCACGATGGATGTGTAGAGAGGAACACACTATGTGAATAACAAGCCACACCCGGCCGCGGGCCAGAATTTATTTGACTGGTAAACGTAAATGGGTAAACACTTCACATATTTTATATATAATTCAAGTATTCAAATGCCTCAGAGACGTTGGCATTGTAAACTCTTCAGAATCAACACCGAGACACGAACCCCAGCACACAAGTGTAATTTGCAAGAAGGTACATTTAAAACTGGGAACAGAGGGCACGTTTTACACAGAGTTCTGGCTGTCAGCAATAAGCTACTTAGCCATTTTGTTGAAGCCGATACCATTTATTTTTTCAAGAAATGTCTGAATGATATCTATGGATTTGCCTCTACCATCCATGGGGATTAGATGGTCCACTTCGTGTTTGTGGTCTTTTTAAATGTTCTTATATGCTGCTCATGATTGGTTTAGTTTGAGTATGATGATACAAATGTTCTGAAGTGTTTTTCATTCATGTGAATGACCAATGACTACATGACAAGCTTGTTTTTTCTCTCACTCAATCTAAGCTGTATTAATAACTAAATTTTTATCATTGTACCAAATACCAGTGGAGGTTTTGAGTAACTTGCTGATGCACATCACCTTCATATACTGTAACACCTGATTGTGTCCAAGCCTTTTCCACAGTAGTGTATATAATAATACGGATAGGACTGGTTTAAATGGAGATAAAAGGAAAGATAATTCCACAGCAATACATTATGTAAAAGAAAGCCGGTGGTAATATATAATTACGCCTTATTGTTAACAGAAAGCAACATTTCTGTCTCAAAGAGATGAGTCACTTAAATAGACAGGTTGGAAAAGTATAGGAAAATGCTGTGTGTATAAAAGCTTTTTTGTCTCTTGCGAGACACTCGTCTAAATTATTATTATTAGTCATCCGTTATTTTGTGCTTGGTTAAAGACCATAAACGACAGGGAAGACGAAATGATCTACATTCGACCTGAGCCTGAAGAAAACGTTTTATTTTTCTTTCCCGTATATTTTTTCAATACTAAACTAAAGCCGTCTGTAAAATATGGGTCCTTTTAAAAAATGCAAGTGTAGGAAGGAAACTGTTACAACCATGAATATACCATTGCCATTTTTAAGAATGATCTCTCTGCAGTTGACCGTTCTGCAGTTGAAATCCACTATGCAATAAATAAATTCAGATTAGGCTTGATAAACTCATACTACAAGGTAACAGCCGTACGCCTTGTCGATAGGTTTGGTAGTACACAGTGCGCTATTCAGCTAAGGACACTAGCACACTTTATTCCCTGGCACAGTAACTCAATTCTCACACATAATACATTCAATCTGTAGTTCGAGAGGAAAAAAAAGGCATCTCTTCGCCAGCTTTTATTGGTTAAAGGTTCTGTTCATCAGGAGAATTACTTTCTTCAATTGGACACAATCTTGTCAATGTTTGGTGTTTCGGCAAGGCTCCTACGGCGGAATGAAAAAAAAAGATGCACTGCTTGGATTGGTCGAAGGGCGCGTCAATCAGAGGGCAGGGGGCGCCGCGATTGGTGCTCGCCGGCGCTCGTCACATGGCGGTAGGCGTTTCCGAAGCCGCAGGGCCAGGTCGGGCAGAAAACGAGACGACGGGAGCTGCAGCAGGAAAATGGCTGACAGGTTCTCTCGTTTCAACGAGGATCGTGATTTCCAGGTAAAAGGATAAACGGCCGGTTCCGGGCGGCGGGGGAAGGTCTCCCCGGGAGAGGGGGGCAGCTGTAGCGTTTCTGAAGCGCGTCAGGGCGCGGAAATGGCAGCACAAACCGAGCTTCTTGGGCGCCCTTGGGGGCCGTGGGAAGTGGTGTAAGGGAAAGGCGGCGCTGTGTGCATTAGCAGGGTGGTAAACAAAAAAAAAAAAGGCGCTAGGTCTCGGGGCTGTGCTGGGAGGGAGGGCTTGTAGGCGCTGACGACCCGTGTTTTGCTCCCCGCGGCCGTGCTCTGAAGCGCGGTGCCCTTGCAGTTGCGGGGTGCGGGGCAGTGTGTGCATGGCCGGGGTACGGCGGGGAGGGCACTACCGCACTGCCATGGCCGCCTGAACCGAATGGCGATGGCGAATTGCACATCTCACCTTCCCACTCCGCCGGGGCAGAGCTTAACATGCCTTCTAAACTGCGGATGTTGCTCTGCGTTTAACCAGTTCATACCCCCCGTGTGAGACGCCGAGCCCCTCATAGCAGTGGCACTCAAGATCGACGGATTTTGAGTTCTAGTGCCACCCTCTTTAAAAAATGTGACTTCGTGAGATCCACACTACTTGAGCTCTTTTCTTCTTCTTCTGAATAAACTATGCCCCGCGAAAGCGACATTTTGGTGTTGATTTCACTCTTGTCGTCAACGGCGATAACCAGCTGGAGTTAAAGGCAAGTTGAAAACAATGATGCCTATTCAAGAGCCTCACGCCTTCCTGGCTGCCGCCGCCTCCTCCTCCTCCTCTGTGAGGGCTCGTGTAGTGATCTCTGCGCTGCAGAACCAGATATACAAGTTGCAGGAATGCTGAGAGATGTCCTCACTCGGTTGTTGGTTTAGTCTTAGTCATAGTCGACTCCCAGGAGATCCATTCCCTGTCAGCAAAATAACTTCTAAGCTGGAAGCATTAACAAGCTAAATATTTTATATGGATTTGGTAGCATCTTGTTGTACTGGTAATAGAAAAGCACGATGAGGGTGGATTATGTACTGATTGTGGAAGTGCGTCTCTCTTGATAGCGGTGGCAGTCGAGTTTGGAGTGGTTATTCTGAGGGTGAAATCGCACCTTTATTTGGGGGCATATGATAAGTCTGATCAGGTGGTTATGGTGCACTGCTGGGCTGTGTTAATTTAGGGAGCTTGCTAAGCTTAAATTAGTTGTGCCGCTTCTTCCCCCGAAGAAGAGGCCATGGGAATGGGATCTGGTCTGGCAGTTCAGGGAGAGGTTTGACGAGGAGGGTGGGAGCTGGGGTGTACCGCAGGCCAGCAGTGTGGGATAAGGAGAGCTTCCAGCTGTGGGATGCTGGGAGTTGCCGTTGTGCCTGCAGTGGTTGTGCAGTACCTAGTTATAACCTGCTAGTTTATCATCCTCACGCCGCTAGTCAAAATGGTCTTGAGCCACAGTTCTTTGCATCAAGCTGTTGAAACTTATGGGATGATGACACAGCGAAGTTAGGGTTGGAGTGAGCTTCTCCTTTTCTGACCGGTCATGGGCATTTGATGTCGCCTCGGTGTGTGTCTGTCGTCTCAGCCGTCAGCCCAGCGGAGTCAGGTCTTTCCTTGGGATTTCCCAGTCTGCACCGTGGTGCGGGCGTGACAGATGGGTTCCATCCGTTTTCTCCCTAGAGTAGGTGCTCTCGCCCAGATGGTGATGACCCCTGGGACTTCTTTCCGGTGACCAGCGTGGCCTGGAGCAAGGATAATACAGTACAGGACCCTCGCTCGGTTTCATCGCAGGCCTGAGATACCGAAGAGTTGAATTAGCCGTCAGCTGCTGAGATGAATAAAGAGCTGGGCGAATCTTGCGGTGGAATAAATCTTAAGGATCTACATTTGTTTGCTCCAAAGGGACATAACAATCTAGGGCTATGAGGTGGTGAGGAAAACAATCCTGTGAAGTGAATTAATACAGTAAATAGGGGGGAAAAACCTTTCACTAATACGTTAGGCTGCTCAGTCATTGTCTAAGTGGACTTGTCAAAAACCCAGATATTATTCCAAAGCTTCAATACGGCACTCTATAAGGTTCGAAGTGGACATCAGCTTAGTGTCTCAACTTGCTGAAAACCAGAAGTGAAAATTTAATAGAGCTGTTCTGTAGGTCAGGGTTTCTCAGTCCTTGTCCTTGTGGGTGACTGACTCTTGTCGTTTGGTACTAAAATTCTCCACTGATTTCGTCTGGTAAAATATTGTTATATATATATTTTTTTACTGGTGTAAAAAACAGTGACCAGGTGTTTGGGAGTTCAGCCCTTGTAGAATTGACAGTTCTGTGTATGGAGATGTTCCACACAATCTGATCTCCTCCTGTGTGGGCAGATGTGATTGGCAGCCTGTTGAGAGCTCCTAGTATAGGTACAGAAGACTGACGTGTATTAAACAGTTGAAGTGCAGACAAACCAGAGTTGTTTTGACTTAGTTTTTCGTTTAAACACATTTAATTTCTGCCTCATTTAAAACTGTTGAAGGCTGGCATGAATCATTTCTATTTCTGTTGGTCTTTAAGCAGATTAAAGTCATGTTATTCAAATTTTCTATTGTTTGTGGACTACATTGTGCTCCTATAATATACTCTTTCCCGGAATTTGATGCATTGTCAGTTTATAACGTTTATCCATTTAAACGACAGGTCCTGTATGAAGGATCATTAATGCCGTCTGGGGTTTCTTGGAATCTAAATTGTTACTTGGGGAGTTTATCATCGCAATTTTTAACCTACCTAAATAAGAGGCCATTTATATTTTCATAGGTTTTGATTTCTTTTTTGAATTCTTGCAGAAATAGACCCACAAGTAGACTGAGGTCAAATTGTGCATTAGTTTCTTTCAGTTCTCCTCTGCTTTAATGAGTACTTGATTTTGAGCCAGTTTGGGATCCTGTTCACTCTTGATCCCAGCTGGATTCAGATGGATGCAGGCACTCAGATCTTATGGAGCCGTTATGGCATTCTCAACGGCAGTGCACGCGTGCGCTGGATGTGCTCATCGGCATTTTCCCTGGCAAATAACGTCGTCAGATGGCTGGCAGTAGCTGCTGCAGAGACAGGAGAGAAGGGGTGCACCGAGAGGCTTGTGTCCCGCCTGTGAAGTGATGCTGTTCAGAGCCAGATATCTGGATTGTCAGTTACAGTGTGAAAATACTGCTAAGCTGCTGGAGGTACATTTGTCTCTAAATACTGACTTCTGGTTTCGCAGACAAGGATGTGCAGCATTTTTTTTTTTCTTAACCTTAAGTTCCCTTTTTTGTCATGAGACCCGTTGTTACACTCCACTGTGTTAAGTGTATCATGGCTGGTGAATTGAGATCCGTTAGTGTTGCTTATAAAGATAGAATATTAATTATTTTAATTCTGTACACATATGTATTGTTTATTTAGCCTTAAAAATATGGACGGGATGGGACCAAACCAATTATTTTTAAGGATATTTCTCTTTGTTGTTAATTTGAAACCTAAATGGTATGGAAAATAATTATTTCCATTCAGTATGTAGTAATTATAACCTACTAATAATGGATATTTAGAATTTTAACTATCTAGAATCAAAATCAAATCTTGTCTGAATTAAACCTCGAAGGTTTTGCACTTTGTATGCCCCTTAAGTGGGCTCAACTGATTTTTCTGAAGTCCTTGAATAGTTCTTAAAAAACAAATCAGAAAGAAAAACCAAAACATGTCTCAGAAACACAGAATCACGCTAATATTAAGTACACAGCGGCAGCTGTGGCCTCACTGCAAATGTCAGGGGTCTGAATCAGTTCCTCCTGACTGCACCGCTGAGAGTCAGCAGCCTGTAGTGAGACTCGGTGTCACAACAGGAGCCAGAGGTTATCGCGAGCACATCTCCTTTCCAGTACAGTGGCGGGCAGACTTCTGCTTCTACACACGGTACAAGATGGCGTTGTGTAAATGGGGCATCCTGGGTAGCCAGTTCGCTTTTACTTTCTTCTCTAAATTTCCTTTTGTTGCTTAAATACGCTTCAACACTCCAGGGCAGGTTAGTGCTCTCGGTAGCATCTGATTGGCATCGTTTACTAAATGTGAACTGCCTTTGTTTTTTGTGGGTCTAAATACATCGTAGTTTCTTTCTTAATGACTTCTTTCAGTAATTTATTTCAGAGGTGGTGGTTTGACAGGGTATCTGGGACTTGGTGATCGAGTGCGTAGGCCGATGACTTACTTAAGTATCCTGGCAAGGGAGGTGTGCACCACAGGCGTTCTTGTTTGAGTGGGCTCAGTTTCGGCTATCAAATTTATTTTTACCGAGTCAGCTCCCAACAGTTACGATCCTTCTGACCGCTGTTAAGCCTGAGCTAATTTTCATTAATGGTCAAGATAAGATTTCTACCTCTTGAGCACCTGACTGATGTATTTAAATGAGGCTTATGAAGCTGATATATAGAATCACTATCAGGACACCTGAAAACAACATATAGACCACAGACATTTCTGTAGTCTGTATGCGGCTCCTAATTTCTGTGTAGCTGCATCAGAAGAGCAGAATGACATTGCCTTGCGTGCTTCCATAGTCGGCTCTTGCTTTGTATGAGCAGGTCTTCCTGGGTGTCTTGGGAAGAGCTCTTCCGATGTTAACAGTGCTTCCTCACATTATCACTCCTCAATATCACGTTCTAGTTGGGTGTGAAAATCTCCTTATGGATTGTGTCATTGTCGTGTATAAATATTGCCGATATAGATGGTGCAGAAAAAGGGGTCGGTTGTATCATGGGCCCACTTGATACCACTGTCCCCACTGTAAAATAGTAACGGGGCTGTGGAGGAAACCCATTAATACGATAGTATCACTTAATGCAATGAACTAAAAGATGGTAAAAAAAAAATCACAATATTAAGCTCTAAAAAAGTGAACATTGCAATATAAGGCCCAATAGGTTGATCTTTGGGATTTTCCGAAATACAATTTTGAGATGTTAAATCATCTTATTTGACATAAATTCATGCAAATATG